ACATCCGTGTACCCAGCACTTTTGCTCGGCCAATCCAACAGCCTAATCTCATCTCCCGACTTCTTAGTCGCATCTACCTGCATCCACTGACCGTACTTCGTCACGCCTTCAAGCACCTTATAATGCCCTCTCACATCAAGGTACTTCAAGCTAGGATTCGGGTCGCCGCTCCTAATGAAGGAAGCGAAGTAGCTGGTAGTGAGCTGAATACTCCAAAGATCCTCCGGTTCGCGGATGCGATTCAAGACGCCGAAGAACCAAGGCGAATCTGCGCCATGGAAGCGGAAGTACGGGTTATCGGGGTTGTCGTTGGCGGGGCCGCCGAGATTGTTGGGGTCGTAGCCGTCGATGGAACGGTCGAGTTGGTAGTAGTATGTCTTTGAGAAGGCTTTCGATCGCGAGGCAGAGTAGACTGTAGATTGATCGGCACAGCGGAATGTCTTGTCAGTGGCAATGCGCTGCGAGACGTTGAAGGAGTCGAGTGTTAGGTTGCCAGTGCTGGTGAAGGGGAAAAGACCGGACTGGATAACGCGTTCGGCCCATGTGCTGTTGATACCTAGCGCTTCCTGTAGTCCTTGAGAGTGGTTTGAGATGGGGCTTGTGGGGTATGTGGAGAACGAAGCGCCGTCATCGAGGACGGTACCGAAGATGACAGGAATGTGCGCGGTACTGGCATTGCTGGTTGAGATGATGAGTTCGGGCGTGTTGACATAGGTACCGTCTTGGACGACGTATCGAGCTACGGTGTTGAATCCAACTAGGTCGGCAGCAGGGACTTTGTCGAGACAAGCGATTTGGGCTGACACATCAGTGCTGTTGCAGCCAGCGGCCGCAAAGATCTGAGGACCAGCGACGGTGTAGCTCTGATTGACCGTGTAGTAGGTTGAGTATGTTGTTCCGTAGTCACCGTCTAGACCAAGTGTTACTCCTCCTCCAAGGTTGGATAAGGCAACGGCGCCTTGAAACTTTCCGATGGCTTTGGGGGAACCCAACAATGTTCGGACAGAGCCGGCTCCGGCAGATCCGCCAGCGATGGTTATCCTCTCTGGGTCACCACCGAAAGCAGCGATGTTTGCGATGGTCCAGTCAAGTGCAACGATCTGGTCGGCGATACCGAAGTTACCCTTGATGTCTGTTCCGGGGATGGCCAGGAAACCGAGCGTCGAAAGACGGTAGTTGATGTTAACCACAACAAGATCTTCCTTGCTTGCAAGGTTTCCACCATCAGAGAGTGGATCAGCGCCACTTCCTCCGGTAAATCCACCACCATGGATCCAAAACAAGACGGGTCGGAGCTGCTTCTTCGATCCCGCTTTGGGAATGTATGGTGTTTGGATGTTGAGGAAAAGGCAGTCTTCGCTTCCACCACCACCTTGGATGCAGTTTGAGCCGTACTCGGTGGCCTGGATCGTTTGGCCCTTCTTGGGGTAGAGTGAGGAGTACTTGAAACGGGTAGGCGTGTCGGCATATGGAATGCCGAGGAACCTAAAGGACTTCTGATTTCGGTATCCGACGAATGTATTTCCACCAGACGCAACTGAGATAGAACTTCCGTTCACGGGCCCGGCGCTCGCTGAACCGTTGTTTGCCGACTGTGTGCACAAGACTGGGAGTTGCTTGTGGTGTGATGAAACAGACGTGTATTTCACTCGGTTTCCGACTGAGACCACGCCACTGTCGATGTAGTACCCACGTTCAGCGTCGGTGTATTTGGCATAATCTTGGTACGAGAGAGCATCGTTGAAATCAGCCTGATATTTCTGTAGCGTAGCCTTGGAAATAAGTTTCTCGTTGAGCGAGGCACAGGCTGCTGCTGCATTGGCTTGAGGGACCGGGTCGAGGATGATGGCACCGATGTGGTTCTTGTCGTCCGAGCCGTTGAGGTTGTTCTGGTAAACGAGTGTCAAAGATGACTTTGCGTTCGAAACGCCAACGGCAGGTGCTGATCCCACTGGTGAAGCCTGAGAGACAGCAACAATACCAGCCGCCGCAGCGGCAACGAGGGTGGTGATGACTGTCATCTTGAATGTCCAGCTTGGCGCAGAGACTTGACCGACAGCTGGAGAACCATGGTCGTTCATCTTGATCCTCTTATACGGCACCGGTAACCCGGATGGCGTCGTGCTTGCAGATGAACAACCGTAGCGCTAGCCACAAGCAGCTCTCCTCCACATGAGGCTATTGGAAATAAGCATTCGAGAACGGGCTAACCCCAGGAAACGAGGTGTAGATCGATCACTAGGCAGGGGCAGTGGCAGAATGCTTAAGCAGAAGATTGGTACCGCAACGATTCTACCGAACGACGAACGCGTACTAGAACCTCTCGTATCTGAAGCGAATACACTCGCACCAACATGAGGATACGATATGATCCTCGGTTGTCACTTGATATCGCAATGGATGTGAATCCTTCCAGATCGGTGAATCGCTTGGCCTGCAGTTACACCGCACCGAGCGCAGCATCGCGATAGTGGTCTATGCATCTTCATCCGAGGTTCAGGTCCGATGTAATTTAGCCGTTTAGGCACTGCACGTAGCCCGTCGGCCTCGTGGCGATGGCATCATGGATGCTAGATGATGCAGGGGTCGGGGTGGATGTCTTTTGTGTCCGTTCGCGGGGTGTGGCTTGAACTGGAAGCGGAGGAGTGGAAGCTGGAAATTTGATGGGGTCCCGGGGTTCAAGACGCGCAGCTTGGTGCTAGCCATGTTGGGCGCTAGTCGCCATATTCCCCTCACACCTGGGCACAACCTGGCAGGTTTGTTCCTTCCGGCAATCGACTACTTCTTGCTTGAGAGAAGCGACAGGTGTATGTCCACGATATTGACGGTAGTTTCTATGCCCGTTGATGGATTCTTCAACGGTCGCTAAACTCGACGACACGGGGGCGTCGTCCATGAGTACCGCTCAGTATCTTCCATCTCATTGGAGGATTAATCAGAGACCCTTCATCTTGGCAAGTATAACAGCATCATGAACACAGTAGCGGCTATGTTATACTAGACAACCGTGGGACGAAGAGGTAAGAATTTATATCGCTGCCAGGATGAACGAGACCGAACACGCTCCGTCCTGTTCATCGGTCAATAGGTTTGAGCGCGCTCGCACCATGCAGCAGATCGCAATACGAAGAAACGCAAGAAGACAAGCATTGGAGTGGGTCGCGATAGGCAAGATAGATTGGCAGGCGTCATTGCACATCATATGCATGTCAGAATACATGTGTTTGAATAGCAACCTCACCTTCTACACACCTTCCTCTCGGCACTACGTTCGTTCGTATCGTTTTCCCATCATCACTTTCAAGATGCGACTAAAGCTAGTACTTCTCACTCAACTCATTGCGACGGCGCTGGGCGCGAGTACGGTTCCGCCCAGTATCTGGAACTACACCTACCCATGGCCAGTGCAGTATTTTGAGTTCACGTCGCAACGCGCCAACCTCTCAATGGCTTACATGGATGTGTCCCCTCATAACACCACGTACGCCTCGAACAAGACCATCATGCTCCTGCATGGCAAGAACTTCTGCGGTGCGACGTGGGAGGACTCAGCGCGCCGTCTCTCAGCCCACGGATACCGCGTCATCATCCCGGATCAAATCGGCTTTTGCAAGTCGTCGAAGCCGCCGGCATACCAATTCTCGTTGCAACAGCTGGCGCGAAACACACATCTACTACTGCAAAGTCTAGGTGTGAACTCAACATATGTGCTAGGACACTCCATGGGCGGTATGCTAGCCACACGATTCGCCCTCATGTACCCAGAGCAAACATCCCATCTCATTCTCACGAATCCAATCGGCCTGGAAGACTGGATGGCTCTCGGAGTACCATGGCGCAATCTCGACGCCTTGTACAAAGACGAGCTGGCCACCAACTACACATCGATTCGGAAATACCAACAAGCCACCTACTACGTCAATACCTGGAAGCCGGAATACGATGTCTGGGTCAACATGCTAGTATCACTCTACCAAACGTCACCCGAGAACATCGATTTTGCGTGGAACATGGCGCAGACGACGGATATGGTCTTGACTCAACCGATCGCGTATGAGTTCGAGCTGGTGCAGTCTAAGACTCTTCTTCTGATAGGGACGAAAGACACCACGGCTATCGGCAAAGCTTGGAGCCCACCAGATGTGCAGGCCAAAATAGGGAAATACGAGGTGCTGGGTAAAGAAGCGGCGGCGCGAATTTTGGACGCAGAGCTTGTTGAGTTTGAGGACTTAGGCCACAGTCCGCAAGTTCAGGACAGTGAGCGATACCATAGCGCGCTGCTAGGGTGGCTGGAGGGGTCTGACTAAACTTATTACGGCGGTGCAGATGTGTGACGAGTGAAGGATAACGAATTGGGCAGCAGCAAAACAAAAGGAAAAGCTTGCGGGCTTTGACGGCCACAGTCGGTTTCGAACCCAGAGCAAAAATAGATCGCTTCACCGAAACCAGGTATGTGAATGGATCACACCCCGCACGACGAGGTAGACATGCAAATGACATACGCTACTGGTCCCTCAGATTCTATTGGGATATTGCTCAATTTAATATGTATATGTAGTATAATGTGTTCTTATCATCGCTTGGATGTGATGGGTGAGCGCGTTCACTTGTGCGATTGTGGGAGTGGGGACGTGCAAACAGTACCCGCATGGGCTGGCTACGTCACGTCGAGAGATCATTTAAGCAGACTATCCGAGTGAAAGCGATCATAACACTGCGCCATATCCATACTCGCGGGTCATGGGATGAGATGTTTGCTCAAAAGGTATGTCATTATCACAGTATGCTCGACCAAGTAGTCAGATTCTCAGAGTACCCAGAGTCCCTTCAGTGGACTATCAAGAGACCGCCAAAACGCCATAGTGATCCCAGAACACCTTCGCTAAACATGCAAGTAAACACTGAGACATCATACCAGACCCAGGAGGTGTTCGACGTCTTCGCATGTATCTCTCCACTCACCCCCATCTCACTGACATCCTCCAGGCTCCTCCATCAACCTAATCTACGTAGTCTGGATCTTTGTCGTCATCGGCAGCCTCGGATTCGTCGTCCTCGTCGTCCTCGTCGTCCATGACGTTGTCCGGCAACTTGGTCTTCTCGAGACGGCCAGCGAGCTTGTCGACCGCTTTTCCCTTTCCCTTGCCAATGTAAGCCGCCTCAGCAGCCTCTTCACCCATATCTTCGGCCTCGGCATTGGCAAATGCAGTCGCCGATTCACCCGTCTTGCGCGAGCCATACGCCTCCATCCAATCAGCGCGCTTGTTGATGGCTTTGGTGGCCTTGTTGTCGTTCCAAGTCGAATCGATCGCGTTGGCGGCTTCGTCAAGCTTTTGGATAGCGTCCAAAACGTCTCGCTCTAGGAGGTGCTTGGGTTCGGACGACCCACCCGCGGCGACACGCGCATCCATGGCGGCGACGAGGAAGTCTTCGCCCAAGAGGTGTTGACCGGGAAGGGCTTTGCTGAAGATACCGATCATGGCGACGCACCTCGGGTCTTTGAGAAGGTGCTTGGTCTGGTCTGTTGTGCGCACGCGCCAGTTGTTCCGGATGGTTTGTACGGAGTTGGCTATCGAGTAGGTCCGGTCGAACGTGTACTGAGGAACGCCGTCCATCTTCGAGAGGAGTTTCTTGACTTCAGAGTGAGGAAGAAGAATGCGGCAAATGTTCTTCTTATCAATACCGTCGCGGCGACGAAGCTTCTCCATGTGAATACGCTTGTCCTTGGTATCGAGTTTCTAGAAGTAAGGAATTAGCCAGATATCCTTCAGTGCAGGCTTCTTTGACTTCAGTGACATAAATGAAGCGGTTTCCCGTATTCATAGTGCCAAGGTTTGCGAGAACTCACCTGAAGAGTTATCGGAAGCGCGTTAGGATCCTCCTCTTCCAGATACAACACGACCTCCAAATCCTTGCCCATAGTAACACGGGTGTTCTCCCGAATTGTGACGAGCAACACCTCGCGGTCCGCGATGCTGGCCAAGTTGAAGACAGAGTCGGTATCGGTCAAGGGTTCGCCATTTCTATCATGCACCCAAAGCTCTTGACCGTTGCGCTTGAGCGCTGCTTGCATTGACACCACCATGTCGTTCCAAGTCATCGAACGGTAGAGAAGGAAGTTGAACCAGTCCTTGCGGGAGTCGACATCGAACAGGGTGAGCACGCGTAATCCGATGGCCCTTGAGGAAGACATTGTGAATTTGTTTGGTATGTGTATGTGTAGACAGAGACAAGTAGGTAGGTAGAGTGTTGAAGAAGAGAGTAGGAACTGAGTCGGCGATAGACGATATATATGAATGAAGAGATTTTCGCATTTGCAGGTGAGCGTGACTTCGAAACTCACAGTGAGGGTGAGAGAGCGATTGCAAACGCGGATTGCTCTTGCTCACCGCGTCATTCTTTCCCTGCCCACGTGGGCCCTTCGGTCAGGCTGCACGCGAGGGACAAAGCAATCAGTGGGTTCGTGACTTGGTCGATGTTTCTATAGGTAGGGGCTCGCAGAGTCCAGGAGGATGTCAGGAAAGTCCTGGTGAGGTTTTGATAGCTTTCATGCTACCCAGACGTTCTCATACTCCTAGAAGTGTACTACGCACGTTCTGTAATCACGTTGCAGTCTATCTGGCTCTACTACTGACTACTCACCGGAATCATGAGACACCATGGTATTCGGCAACCAGCTCCCACCAAGATCAACCGCCAGCTCAAGTATCTTCCTTAAACCCCTTCGAAGTTCGCGCACAACAAGGTCTCTATTCGGTCTAGTCTGTTAACTCGGTGTGTGGGCGCTCCAAGACCTACATCGCAGTGAGAGTGGATCGCACCCCGCCCTCCGTTTGCGTTTACTTAATGGTAAATGGCGCCTACCGCGGTATTTTCCGCTAGTTCTGATTGAGTGTAGACCCAGATACTGTTCTTCCCAGTCGTCCCTCATCACATCCGTGAGCTCACCTGGGTAAGCTAGATCTTCATCACGATGAGCCGTCCACCGCCACGTCCCCGCCAGGTGCAAGAAGTGCTGTTCATATCCACAGGCCGGTACATGGATATGAAGGCCAAGACTATCTCCAGGAAAGCTCGTCGAGCAGCTGAGATTGCGTAAGGCTGGAACCCGCCCGGTACTTTCCCGTTCACCCGCCTGCCCAGAGAACTCCGCGACTCCATCTACGCGTACGCATTTGGCCCACTCCCTACTATATTCAAGTTAAAGGGTCTACTCATCCAGGCCACACGCAAGGTTCGATCGTTGGAGGAAGACAATGGCGACGGTGACGACGACTTCGACATCCGCTATCACGACACAATCCCCGCGTTCACTCGGGGCCTCGCGAAGTGGGTCCTCGCCAATAAGCAGATCTGTTCGGAAGCTCTCTCTTATCTTGGTGCCTCGCGCACATTCAACGCAATCGATGTTCACCGTCTTTGGGAATTGCAGAAGGAATGCGACATCCTTCGCGGCCTTCCCGGCTGTCCTTATTCTACCCCCCTCGTCTTCAATAGCGAAGTCCTCCGCAACATCATCATCATAAGGATATATGACCAACATATGGGAATAGAAGATGAGTTCATGGCCATTCTTAACCGCGCACATGTGAAAGACGCGTCCGTGGAGCTGGAGTGGCAAGTATCTCGTCACCGAGATTCAAAGGACTGGGAAGAACATTTGGACGCCTGGATCGCCGAATGGCACACCAAGCAATGGGACGGTAATCTACGAAAGGTCAGGATCACTATACCTACCAACTGGACCTTCGAGAACCCGGTCTTTGATACGGTCAGATTCGAGCAGGTGGAAACGTTGGCACGAAGCCTCGTGGGACAGGATGGGATCGCGACATGGGGTGACTTCGACTTTAGGGGCAATTTTCCGGTCCTGGGGCTCGAGGTGGACTGGTGCGATGTGTTCACGAGGAGCCTGGTTGTTGAAAGGGATAATTAGGTGTGCACAACGTTGCCGTGGAGATCAGTGCTAGATGCGACGACCGAGGAAGGGGATTGGGCTCGTACAAGTACGGTGGCTAGGTCTTTTGACTGGACGACATGAGTAGTTGGAGAATATACATGGAAAGCACGAGATACAGGGAGAGAGGTTAATACAATGTATGCTGCTGATAGGAATATGGCGACTGTCGTCGTCATTGCTTGTGAGGTTGTATGCCGCAGATCTCCATGAGATGTACAGTAAGACTTCAATGACTATCCTGACCATGACCAGGGTCTAGTATGAGTCAAGGCGCATGCTCTTCTCCATTGTCGTTGTGCTCGATGTGCATGAATCACGACTCACCTCACACTGGTCTTTGGCGAGTAAGTCCAGATTGATGCTCGGCAACGGGCCCTCAGCCACCCGTTAGTAGTTCCTTCCTCTGGGATGTCGGATAGTCGAGCGTGGACCATCGCCACACGATCTATGATCTAGAAGGAGACGTGGAGGTGGAGGCTTGGATTCGGACGAACGAAGGAACGATTTGTAAGGTGGAGGTGGCGTACTCTCAACATGGCGGTACGCAGTTGCCGTGGAAGCCTTCGGGTGGAAGCCGCGGGGCGTATGTAATTGCCGAGAACGTCTCTTTTCGTACCGCGTATACGACTACGCTCTGCGACATCTTCTGCAGGCCGCGTCAACAATACATTCATCTCCATACACGCATCCAGCTAGCAGCCTAGTACTATGCACCGTCGCGATTCATTGTGTAGCGCGAGGCCATAGCACCGCCGCGACGTTATGTGTCGCCCGTTGATCGTCATGGCGGAGTCCGGAACCTCGGAACAGAACTATTTGCGAAGCTACTCCTCGCTGCGCATGGCGCATATGCTGTAGTGAAGAAAAACACGATCTTCAGGTAATGTCTGGATATTCGGTCGAATGAGATGACCGTACGCAGGCTGCCTAACGGCGAGGACGCGACGCGCTATGGACGGCAATAGTTGCGATCAGGGCCCAACGAAGATGACGACATTGTTTATTGCATAACAACAGGGCAGCGATAGTTACTTTGCGCCAAACGCTTGTCTCGACATCTCAAACATGGAGAAAGTAACACACCACACTCAATGCCAGGATGACAGGGTCGTATCAAGGTTCTTTTCGTACCCTTCGTACCGGCAGCTTGCCGAGTGCCGAAAGCGTATTGTTTCGAAATGAGCGCCAGCCACTCACGGGAGATGACGCGCCACAACGGTGCCCGCTGACCAGAGCCTTACCGCAGAAAGGCGGTGTCAGCTAGCAACTGCTGCAAACGAAGAGGATCTGTCAAGGACCGATGATGGCTGAGGGCCTGATGGTTCAGGCGAGCATGCGACAGTACTTTACAAACCAAACACGGACAAAACCTCGACGAGAAGAGATGGGACTAAAAATAAAGTTTGATCGTCAGGGCCTTCAGCCACGACAAGTGGCACGCCTAGTAGCACGCCTATGAGGTCAGATCCTCCTAGCTCTTCCGGGCGTTTGGTGCGTTGGAGCCAGGAGCATAGCCGCCTGTGCAGTGTGGGTCATTCCGCAGCCTCCCGTCAGCATGGAGCGCATCATTTAACATTGCCATGATTCCGCATTTGTTCGCGATTCATTTCGCGTCTTCTCAGCCTTCTCACCCCTCCTTTCCTTATATCCATTCATTAGGATGAAGTATTCTTCTGTGTTGTCTGCTTCGGCATTGACTAGTTTAGCGACCTGTAAGTGATGCGCCTCCTTGTGTTCCTGCAGGGACCCAGCTGACGCATGACAGCATCTGCGGTTGTTCCTCGGGAAGCTAGAGTCGTACCTCCCAATGGCTTGGATATATTGAAGCGTGCCTCGCCCCAGGCTCCCAATGGCTACGCGCCCGCCGAAGTCAACTGCCCGTCGACGCGCCCGAGCATTCGATCAGCCGACAAACTCTCCCAGCAAGAGACAGAATGGCTCCAGAAGAGGAGGCCGAACACCATAGATCCTATGCGCGAGTTCCTCGAGCGCGTCAACATTGAGGGCTTCGACGTTGGACAATACATCAGCAACCACCGCGACAACACTACCGCCCTACCGAACATCGCGATCTCGTTCTCTGGTGGAGGATACCGGGCCCTGCTGAACGGTGCGGGTGCTCTAGCGGCGTTTGACAGTCGGACAACGAACTCGACGAGTGCAGGACATCTGGGAGGAATCTTGCAGGCATCCACATATGTTTCCGCCCTATCAGGAGGAGGCTGGATGATTGGCAGCATCTACGCCAATAACTTTACCTCAGTTGAAGCAATCATCAACAAGGGGGAGGACTCGGCGATTTGGCAATTCCAGAACTCGTTGTTTAAGGGACCTCCCACGAAGGGAATCCAGCTGCTCTCAACTGCGCAATACTACGACAACTTGGTCAGCACGGTCAAGGACAAGAGTGATTCGCCGGCTGGTGACTTCAACACGTCGATTACCGATGTGTACGGCCGCGGCCTTTCTTTCCAGCTCATCAACGCCAGTGATGGAGCCCCAGGTATGTTCACCGCCATATCGTTCATTCCTACAAACTAACACCCACAGCCTATACCTTCTCTTCCATCCAGGACGACCAAGACTTCTCATCCGGAAACGCACCGATGCCTATCCTCGTCGCAGATGAGCGTTCGCCCGGAGACTTGATCATCTCTTTGAACGCCACCAACTTCGAGTTCAACCCGTTCGAAATGGGCTCATTCGACCCTACAACCTACGGTTTTGCTCCTCTGAAGTACATCGGGTCCAACTTTAGCGAGGGTGAACTTGCTCAAGACCAGGGCTGTGTTGAGGGATTTGACAACCTGGGGTTCGTCATGGGAACCAGCAGCTCCTTGTTCAACCAGATCTTCCTTACATTGAACACCATCCAGGACGTACCTCAGATCCTGGTAAACTTTGTCTCGAACATTCTCAAGGGTATCGGTGAAGATGGTGACGATATCGCCGACTACTCGCCCAACCCTTTCTTCCACTACCACAACGAGACGAACCCCAGTGCTGACAGGGAGCGTCTTACTCTCGTGGACGGTGGTGAGGATGGTCAAAACATTCCCTTCAACCCGGTCATTCAGCCCGTACGCCAGGTTGATGTCGTCTTTGCTATCGACTCTTCTGGTGACACCGTCGAGGAGGACGACCCATCGCAGAACTGGCCCAACGGTACTTCTCTGGTTGCAACCTACGAGCGTGCAAGCGGCACTCTCATGAATAGGACTTCATTCCCTTACATTCCTGGCCAGGACACCTTTGTTGCTCTAGGATTCAACAGCCGCCCGGCATTCTTCGGTTGCAACAGCAGCAACGTCACCGAGGGCGACAACATCCCTCCTCTCGTTGTCTACCTCCCCAACGCCCCCTACGTCTTCTGGTCCAACACCTCCACCTTCAACAAGCTCGACTACAGCATCTCAGAGCGCAACGGCATGATCGAGAACGGCTACGATGTCGTCACCCAAGCAAACTCAACACGCGAGGGTGCTTCAAACTGGCCTACTTGCGTCGGATGCGCCATCCTCTCTAGGAGTCTGGAGCGCAACGGCGAGGCTATCCCACAAGTGTGCCAGCAGTGCTTCACTGACTACTGCTGGAACGGCACCACGGTTGAGAAATCGCAGCCATACACTCCCGAGTTGATCGTTGGTCAGCTCGCCACTACAAACAACGGCGACGACGACAGCGGTGTAGGAAAGTTCGTGCCCAACGTCCTCGGTCTTGCTCTGGCAGCGACCGTGTCTGGATACCTGATGATGTGAAATATTTTCTAGTTTGCTTTTGGCGACATAGGGATTGGATTCAGCGCGGGTTGAAATATGATACCACCTCTCTTTTGTAGATAGTAATTGAGTCATTACACGTATACCGAACGCTCCATTGCCATTCACCTATCACACGTGCGACATTACCATGCCATGCATTGCGGCTCTTCGGCGCCGCCCGTCCCTGCATCACCGAGGTGTGCCCCGCCAGTTGCGCGCCCGTCAAAAAAAAGTTACAACCCCGCCACGCTTCACGCACCCAACGCAGCCCTCCCGCAATCACCACACACAATGGCCGCCGTTCAGTCGCTCGCAGGCGCGCCCGTACTTTCTACACCTGACACGCACATCTTCGAAGACCCCACTCCCGCCGTAGACACATCGAGTCTCCCCAGACTTTCCGATGAGCAGATCACCCTCACATACGAGATCGAGCGGACGGTTAGGGAAATTCGCGAGGGGAGGTGGAAGAGGATCGCGTTGCAGTTCCCGGATCACATGCTTACTGATGCGCCGAGAGTGTATGAGCAGTTGAGTCGTGGGCTGGGTAAGGCGAGGAAGGCGCGGGATGGGGTGCAAGAGGAGAATGGACACACAAATGGGACAACAGGCGTGGATGAAATCAGCGCGGGCTTGGAGAAGACGGACATTTGTAATGAGGAGAGCAAGGATGAGAGTCTGTTTATACTGGGCGACACATCATATGGCGCATGCTGCGTGGACGAAGTTGCAGCAGAGCATGTCGATGCGGACGTTGTCGTACACTATGGCCGCTCATGTCTCTCGCCTCCTTCGAGACTACCAGTCGTATACGTCTTTACCGAACGACCGCTAGATCTCGACCCCGTAATCGCAACATTCCAGGAAACGTATCCGGAGAAAGACGCAAAGATCATCCTCATGGCCGACATACCATACTCGCACCATATCCCCCCGCTCCACGCACGCCTCCAAGACGCCGGCTACACGCACATCCACGCCACAGAAATCGTACACAATCCCTCGTCGCCGCTCCCAAACCGAACGATGCCACCAAACACAACGGAAACAGACGAAGCCCTCCACGACTACGCCCTCTTCCACATCTCCGACCCCCCAACCTCCCTCCTCCTCACCCTCTCCTCGCGCGTCGCCTCAATACACATCTACCCCACAGACACCCCCTCAACCACTCCACCCACCGCCTCCCTAGCCCGCACCCACCAAACCCTCATGCGCCGCTACGCCCTCCTAACCTCCCTCTCCACAACCCCCATCTTCGGCATCTTGATCAACACGCTCTCGGTAAAGAATTACATGCACATCCTCTCGCACGTTCAAAAGCAAATCAGCGCCGCGGGCAAGAAATACTATACCTTTGTCGTGGGCAAAGTGAATGCAGCCAAGGTGGCTAATTTCAGCGAGGTCGGGGGGTGGGTGGTGATAGGGTGTTGGGAGAGTAGTTTGATTGAGAGTAGGGAGTTTTGGCGGCCGATGATCACGCCGTGGGAGCTCAAGGTGGCGTTGATGGGGGATGAGGAAAGGGTTTGGACGGGGAGGTGGGAGGGGGATTTCCAGAAGGTTTTGGATGAGGGGCAGGGGGTTGTGAAAGAGAAGAATGGTAGCAGTGCGCAGGAGGGAGAGGAGGAGGGAGATGCGAATGGCGATTATGATTCCGAAGAGGAATCAGCGCCTCCTGAGTTTGATCTTAGGACTGGTCGCTATGTTTCGCATGCGAGACCTATGCGCTCGAGTGGCGCGACGAAAGCTGTTAATGGGAATGCAACGACGTCGTCGTCCAGTTCGGCACTGACGAAACGGGCGAATGGCGATATTGCGGCTGTGGGGGGCGTCGCGTCGCCTGGTGCAGAGTATTTGCGCTCGAATAGGACGTGGCAGGGTCTGGGTACGGATTACCGGGATGTAGAGGATGGGGAAGAAGGGGTTGGGGGTAAGAGGGCGGCTAAGATGGAAGAGGGAAGGAGTGGAATTGCGAGGGGGTATGTTGTTGGTGAGCAGGGGAGCAGGCATTGAGTAGATGCAAGACGAGGGATTCGATTCTCATCATCTGTTGACAATATTACTATCTCAGAGCTACGAAAGCCATTGAAATAACAGAACGATCCGATGCTATTGAGATACCGTTGCGCCCGTCTCCATACTCTTTACTACGTCCTCTTGAAAAGTCTCGACGAAATTCTCCTGCCTTCACATACTCCTTGCTATAAATCCTCTTGGCCAGCAGTCCTCTCATTGTGTTCCCATTGTAACTCTCGCCCAAGCTGTCTCCATGTCTTGGACGAGCGTAAGGAAGTCGTCGCTTTCCAGGTGGCGGTAGACGAACTCGTTGAGCGCTGCTCTGCGTCCCTCGTCAGACTGCATGGCATATGTCGCCAACTGGTCGTTCTCAGTCACACTTGTAGTAGCACCTGAATTGGACATGCTCACACCACAGTGACCAGCAACAGACGTAGGTGGCGTATCGAGACCACGATACGACATGGTATGGTGAAGATCCTGTGCAGCATTACTTCGTTCGCCAAGAGGTTGCGGTGTCGGGATGGCACTGAAACTTGACCGATTGAAAGACAACGGAGAGGAGATTGGAGACCATGTCAACGGTGACTGATTCTCGATGCCGCCATGTGGAGATGTCTTTGCGCGTGCAGGAATGTACTGATCTTGGTTCGGTGTGCGAGGGGGCTGTTGCATTGGTTGCTTTCCACGTGCGGTCTTGCTAATGACAGTGGGTTGGGGCAGAGGTGGGAGTTCGATCTCCTTGCTGGTTGCGCTTCGGCTGGAACCGGGTCGGTTACTGGCTACGCGTGCTGGTAGAGGAGGAGGCCCCATTGTGCCAGTAGAAGGCCGCACGCTGTCACTGCCAGAGGAGCGCGGCGAAGATAAGCGTGGGAAAGGAAGCTCGCGTCTCGGTGGTAGTATCTCAGTGCTACCAGGGTGATCCGCAGTACCGGGACGACTTGCACTACCAGTGCGGTTGAACAGCATAGCAGTGTCCGGTCGCTCCGTAGACATACGATGAGATTCTTGAAGATCCGGCATTTGCTGATCTGACGTATACGAAGAGTCAACATGCGAGCGTCCTAAGATATCCGAGGTTGCTGAGGTAGGACGAGTGAACAATACTGGAGGAGCAAGAGGACCTGGGAATGGTGCCGGCACACCACCCGCTTCTCTAGCATAGCCTGTGGTGGCAGAAACTGGACGGTTGTATGATGCTGTGGGTAGTTCATGATTCAAGGAAGCAGAGAAGTCATAGCTAGTGGACGGTCGACTAGAGATCTCCGCCAGTCGTGAAGGAGGACATGATGGTCCACCTATGGCAGGGCTCATATTAGGCAGCTGAGGGTATGCAACAGCAGTTAACCTTGGCCGGGAAGACGATCCTCCTCGCGCTGGAGAAAGTGGCTGAGCCGTAGACCTTGGCTGAGACGGGACTGCCTTTTGGCCGCCCATGTAGAGACCGAGATGAAGGAGGTGGCTGAACGCGGTGTCGAAGTCTTTGTCCGACTTGAACCTCATCTGGATGCGCCTGATCTTGTCGTTGGCCACTTGCCATTTGATAGCGAGCAGAGGGCAGCGCACAATGGCGGATATGTGGAGGTGGTCGGGCTGCACCTGCACTCCGCGCTCTTCACTCAGACGCGTAATGTGATTGCCTTCGTTGATCAGTCTCTCGATTTCGATGGTTTGCTGTCATCCAACGGTTAGCTAGCACACCATTTGAAGCGGGTTTCCAATCTGAGTGGGTGAGTAATCAGTCATGCATGCGTCGTACCCGAACCTGCGAGCCTTGACACAGTTTCATGAGCTGAAGACCACCGCGTGCACCATAGCTGTCGATGATCAATGTGAGGTCATTGGTCTCTTTCTGCCAGTTGAACCTCTGCTCGCTGGCGTCGGTGTCCTGTGCTGTTGACAGAGTCTGGAGCGGAAGGGATAGCATGATCGTTAGCAATGCTGTTTGTTAGTCGAGATCAATCAGCTGCCGTCTGATGGCACTTGTGGGATGAAATATGTCGTGATGGAGACATTTGCGCACGCCGGTGCTGAGGGACGTGAGGGATGGTCGAAGGAAGTCGCGACCGGCCACCCAGTCACATGATGTGGTCCGTGCGAATCAACGCAAGGGACCTGGTGCAGTCTGGAGTTCTGGTGTTCGCCCATCCATCATCGCGAACGACGCGCGCCGCGCATTCACGAGCAGATCCACCATTGCGCCTGGCACACAGCTGAATCCACGCATGCGTCGCGACCCGTGCCCGAGCAGTCCCGAGTAAATGCGACAGCCGCACCATGGCCCCAAACAAACCAGAGGAACAATCTGTCGAGCGCACCCAAGAACATGAAGACTTCCTGAATACCTTGGCCGAATACCACGAAAAGCGCGGGTGGGTTTTGTTCTTTGTCTCGCCGCAATGAGCGCATATTGACCCGACGTGTAGCACTGTCCTGGATCGCGAACCCAAGGTCGGGAGCCGGCACATTGACCTGTTGCGACTCTACAAACGCGTTAATGAAGAGGGAGGGTACGATAGGGTTTCAGATACCAAAAACAACAAGCTCGCGTGGCGCAAAATCGCGACTGAGTTCCTGCCCAAGAGCCCCAGCATCACAACCCAGGCCTTTCTGGTGAAGACGGCCTACTACAAAAACCTTGCGTACGTGAATCGTGAAAGACAACTTTGCGCCTACCACTGCTGACGCCTGCTCTAGCGCCTACGAGATATCCACCGTTCATAAGCGCGAACCCCCGCCGCCCGAAATCCTCGAGAACGTATCTGCAAAGGGTGGAGACCTGCTCAACCGGACTGTCGACAACTTCTTCCCCACCAGTAATAGAGAGGCTGAACGATTAAGGGGAGAGGAGGACTCCGACTCCGAAGACGACGTCGAGAAGACACCCAAAGACGACAAGATGGACGTGGACGAGCCCGGTAGCCTTGGGCGGTCGACCAGATCCCTCCGCCATGCGCCGCCGCAGCGAGTGCTCTTCCAGCCCGAGTCTTCAACCCGACAGACGCGCCAATCAACAGGCCATCTGACTTCGGCGCAAGCCAACGGCTACGGCACCAGCGGAGCAGCCATGACGATCGCGAACTACGAGCCACGAACCGCCGTACCAGCCACCATGAAGCCCGTCGTTACCCCGTCCAACTCCCTCGATACCTACATACAGTCGCGCAAGAAGTACATCCTCAACAAGAAGAACAGGCCGGTGCCGCTCAAGGGCATGATGCTGCCCGGTACTGGCTTCTCAGGGCCCAGCATATACATCCGCGCTTTGAACGCGCTGCGGTCAAAGGAGCCTGAGGAGGAGGCATACGCACTGCACCACCTGGTCAAGATCTCGCACGAGCGAGGAGACAAGTACCGCTTCGATCAGTTCCCGGGGCTCGCAGATGCACTAATCGCCAAGGTCATTGACGTGTCCACTTTGTTCTTCGATGTGAACTGGGACATCTCATACGTCGAAGAGGACTTTACTCAACCGCAAACCCTGAACGGACTGACCGGCACCCGCGACCTGTTGCAGCGCATCAAATCTCTCCGCCCACTCGACATGCACGACAACCTCCTACCCGAGCAATCTGCAAAGGCCCTCACCATGATCAACGAGGCTGCGCTCATCATCCGGAACATGGTAATGCTGAAAGAGAATGCTATCTTCGCGGCCTCTGTGCCATCCATCCAAGATATGATCGTTATCGCACTCAGCCTGCCCCGCCACTCCACCATCGTGGAGCTACAGCATTACGCCCTCGAGATCGCCGAGCAGCTGACAAAGTACTGGATATTGGACTCGCAAAGCCCACTGTATCGCTCTTTGCTCACCCAAGTGGATTCCGACGACCGTGGCCGCATCATCACATCTTTGAGAGCACTCGCCCGAATAGCAATGAACCTGGAGGCTACGAACAAGCTCTCTGACGTGCCAGTCAAGACCCTCAAGTCAATCTGCGACTGGCTGCTAGTAGAAGACGAGGATCTGCGCATATCATGCCTGGACTTCCTCTATCTCTTCACTGGGTTTCCTGACAACGTTGAGACGCTTGTACACGAAGTTGATATTGAAGGAGTGGCGAAGCAATTGGTACGCTTGCTACAATACGGCGCAATTGCATACGAAGAACGAAGGAGTGCCGCCAAGACGGCAAAGACCTCTGCACCTCCAGAGAATGCGCCTAAGCTTTCGTCCGCAATCATAGACCATCTTGTGACGCTTGATGAGCCAGAGCGTAGCTCGCAATGGCTCAAGACGTGTTTCGAAGAGGATGCAACTGGCGAGATTACTCAAATTCAGCTCTGGTCGGCCTACAACGCAGCCTTTTCAGAACACATGACGAATAATCCGGCTTCTTTCAAGGCGCTTATGCCAGCGAAGGACTTCATCACGAATGTTTCGACGACGTTCGGTGGCGCCTCCGCTCAGGTGTTGACCGTGGGTGGGCAGCCAAAGTATACCATAAGAGGCATACGGCCACGATCCGTACCAGTCGACCCAAGCACCAAGAGGCCCTATATGCGCTGCTGCTGGCATCCACCGAGCCTCCTGAACGGCCATGCCGACTCCAAACATTCCACCGCCAATATCGAGTGCGGAGAGTTTGCTTCTGGAGCACGCTCCATGTGGGAACACGTTGTCAGTGTCCATCTCCAAGTTCCTCGCGACCAGGAAACCGGACAGTGGCTGCTCGAGCCAAAGCTGGACATCAAGGACATTGTCAATATCGAGAACGGCGACACCCCAGAAGCGACGAAATACTACTGTCACTGGGGCGGCTGCACTCGATTCTCGCCTGACGGCACGGAATCCGCGTTCGAGGCTGGACAGCATGTCAAGACGCATTTGCCTGATACGAGTATCAAGCAGGCCATCCACGCGAAACACAACCGCACGCCTTCAGAGTCACGGCCCTTGACTTCTTCCGCACAAGCACGGCATGAGAACTTCCAGCCCCAATTTGGACAACCAGTCGGGCTGGGTAGCTTAGGTATGGGTGGGCGACATCAGAGTTCAACGACCAGCTCTGCAAGTAGATATGGCGGTCGAGATGATGCAGCGGGAGCGCAATCAGCACCCAACTTCCGCTACTACAACACGGCAACCGACGATACGAATGATGCCGCTGGTCTTCCCCTGTCCTCTGTCCTCGTACTTCGCAACCTTGCCCGGCAGCTCAACAAGATCCCACCACCAACCACTGTCACCGACATCACCTCGCCATCCTCCCCAGCCCACAAGCGGACATTCAGTGCCAGTGAGGGCAGTCCGGAAGCCGCGAGACGAGCCACAGCCGGCGGCAAGAAGCCACGTCTCAGTGACGCAGCAGCGGAACAAAGACGAGAGAACGAAGAGAAGGAGGAAGAAGAAGCCAAGAACGCAGGATGGGTCCCCCGTATCTTTGCTCCGCTGCGAGATCAAATCGCCTTCACTGCGAGTCACAATCTTACTCTCCGGAACTATGTCGGCGGTCTACTCAAGGCCATCGCTGAAGGTGGTGGTTAGATGTAGTAGTATGTGTTTGTAAAGCCCTTGCTGCGTGGCGTTGGTGAGGTTGCAAAAGGCTGTTTCCGCTTTCTTCTGTATGAGCGATACGGTATTGTTCGGAGTTTACTACATTTGTGCTCAGGGGAGTGTACGCTTAGATATCTGGGTAGTTTCATGATACCACTTCGACTGATGAGTCGAGTGTTGGTATGTTTATTACACGTCACTTCAACAGGGTCCATGTTGTTTTCAAATTCTTCGACTATCCACTGTCAGTATGTTGCACTCTATCTCAACACATCCTAGGTGTCGTGTACTTTACAACTGCAGGAAAAGTTTACGTGTCGGAGGGCAAACTTGTTTAAATTGAAGTCTTTTCAATGGAGGTGTATCTTAACGACATGCTCCTTCCAATTCGCCGGAACGCCTTCTCCATCCATCAAGCCATGCACATACGTATCTCCGACGAGCGTATAGTGACCTTTAGTCCCATCCTCAGCTGCTCGGAGGCAGAACGGTACGCGTCCTCCCAACAAGATAGCAACGGAGTCACCAGGCAGCATCTCCGGCGGACCCACACCCATATAACCATCCGTCGTGATAAAGAACCTCCGATCAAAGCCCGAAGTAAACCACGACTCATAGAAAAAGCGGTCGTCGCTAAGATCCTCGCCATGTAGGCTTCCCGCGGCATCAGGATTCACCGCTCGAGCCTGACACCACGTCTGCAAGTTCCGTCCCAAGCGCGTGACATTCGTATTGCCGAATCTCTGTGATTTGTTCCCTCGCGAAGAGTCGTTGGACGAAGTCGCGTGGTTCGACGAAAGCGGTTCCCAGCAGTCAGTCGTCAAGATACGCCAGAGCGCTTCTTCCAACGACTGATTTCGCAAAGCGCGGAAGACGTTTTTCTTCTCTTCCTCGATCATTCGATAGCATGTCTCAAGAGTGTCGATGATGTTTTTCCAGGTAAGTCGCTCCGTATGCAATATCTGTGAGACTTGTGAGATGGTCTGGCGTGGCTCGAAAGCGTCTACCGTGAGTACATCTTTCCTTCTCTCGATGTGGGCTGCCGTTCCGCCCGCCGCTGAATACAGTGCTGAGCGGTGTAGTTTGAGTTGTGCGACTGCGTACTGTGTTGGTGTTTTCGGGCTGATTTCCACGACCCAAGATGGTATGCCAGATACGCCGGCCATAGTTCTACCCATCAATGCATCCAACGAACGGGTACCGCGTATATCCCTGATGGTCGCTTGAATGAAGACTTCTTTTGGGGAGAGACTGTAGTCAGGGATGATGGGCGGTCTACCTTGCCAATCTGTTACGAGGCCTAGTACACCGAACACGTTGTCTCTGATATTCGTCGCTTCGTGCAGGTGTACTAGACGCATAACTTGACTCAGACACAGTCGTTTGCCTCGCTGTCTGAGCCTCTGGAGGGCTACCGCGCCGGTGTG